GCCTCCAGCATCCATCTAGAAAACCAACATAAGACAATCTCTTTTTCCTGTGTGGCTCTGACTTTGACTCAGACACAGGAGTTAGACAGCAGGAACAACACCCCTTCCGTCTCTAACCAAACTTCAGGGATTAAACTTCCAAAAGGAAACGGATTTTTCAAATTGAGTTTTCAAATTTTCACTTGAGTTTTAGATTACATTTCCCATCTAGAATTCTACTTCTTCAGAGATGCCAGCTCGCTCCTCCCTGTGCCCTTCTCTCTTTGGTTTCAGATGGCATTTTTTCCAGGAGCCTTTGAGGCGTTCTGCAAGCTGGGTGTGCTCTTCCTGCGGCCCCCACAGAACCTTGGGGTTGCACAAATACAGGGCGTCATCACTGTTTTCTCTTTCATGGATCCCAGTCTTCAAGACAATGAGTTTTCTTGAAGGCAAGGACGATGGTCTCTTCATCTTTCTATTTCTGGTACCTCATACGTGGTTAATAAATACTGTTAGAATGAATTGATACCTTTAATGAACTAATCAAAGCAGCCTAGAGAGGAGAAAAAATTTTAACAGAACACATTCCTTATTTGCACATAATACCTTGACCCATCCATGCCCTGTCTGGTTACTGAATTTGCCGGAATCACAGTGGTTCGAATCAATCCCTCTCCCCCAAACCTATCCCTCTCTCACCGCATCTTTACACTATGAAAGCATCCTCCATCAACCCACAAGTTTGAAAGACTCCTTATTTTAAAAGGGGATGGGTATGTGTGATTTTTTAAAAAAAGTTCTTGTTTAAGGAAAAGATCTGAAGAAAACGAGCTAAGTTTTTCTGGCGGTCACTGTGCTGATTGCTTTGGGTCCAAGAGCACAGAGCTGGGTGCACCGTCTTTGCTGGCCGGCTGGAGCTTCTAGCTCATGATGGCACCTGGGCCACTTGAGTCAATGTGGCTGATGAAGGACATAAGTGGACAGCAGGCTGTGGGGACACAGCGTGGAGGCTCTGCCTGTGGAATTTGTCTCTGATCCTCTGTCAGCCAGTGTCAAATATTAATGAATCATCCCCTGGCTTGATAACCCACCTCCGATGCTATGTGTTGCAAACACTCATCTTTTATCACATTTCAGTTATTTTAGACAAATCATTTTGCATGATTGATCATTATTTTTACTTTCGTGAGGTTGAGGTGGGTGGGGAGAAAACCACAGCAAAAGAGCATGGCAGGAAGTTTCCTCGCAAAAGATTCATGCATTACCTTTGGGTTATGGCTTCTTAAAACCCAAATTCTTAAAGTGTTCTGAGGTTAAAAGCTTCCTATTTGCCACAGAGTTGAAAGATGATGATTTAGCCAGTGTTATTTTACAAGTGTAATTTTACATTCGGTCATCTCTAGATGAATGAGTCTTTAATTTTCACCAGGGAAGGTCATTATTAGAGAGGTGGATTGTGGATCCCGGTGGAGCTCATGTGGGAAATGAAACTGAGGAATTATGCTTAAAATGTACAATCTACCTCTTCCCCAGAAATGTTCTTGGTTGAGGGTAGGGTGAGAAGGGATGAGAGGCTGAAGCATCCAGGTCTGGATATTGTGTTAGGTTGCCCTGGGCCACTAGAGGAAAATGGAGGAAAAAGCAAGGGTGTGGTCATAACCTGTGGGCCTCAACCCCTGGGCCGTGGACCGGTACTGGTTTGTGGCCTGTTAGAAACTGGGCTGCACAGCAGGATGTGAGCGGCAGGTGAGCCCGCAAAGCTTCATCTGTATTTACAGCCACTCCCCATGGCCGGCATCACCACATACGCTCCACCTCCTGTCAGATCAGTGACATCAGGTTCTCATAGGAGCACGAAGCCCACTGTAAACTGCGCATGCGAGGGATCTAGGTTACGGCTCCTTATGATAATCTAATGCCTGATGATCTGAGGTGGAGCTGAGGCGGTGATGCTAATGCTGGGGAGCGGCTGCAAATGCAGATTCTCATTAGCAGAGAGGTTTGACTGCAGAATAAATGTAATGTGCTTGAATCATCCCGAAACCATCCCCCCCACAACCCGGTCCCTGGAAAAATTGTCTTCCGTGAAACCAGTCCCTGGTGCCACAAAGGTTGGGGACCACTGGTTGTAACCTATAACATTTTCCTTCTGTTTCTTATTCCCTTCTCTCTTAATGAGTAGATTGAGATAGACAGGAATTCCAAAGTCCATTAATTTAATCACAGTATTTTATTATTAATAATTCTAATGTTTCATTCATTCCAATTTTAATAATTATAGCTACCATTTATTATTCAATAATAATAACTTATTACATGTTAGTCTTACTACGTGGAGCTTGATTGAGCTGGCTACTGTTATTATCCCTATTTTACAAATGAGGAAACTGAGGCTCAGAGCTGTGATTCTTACCTGCCATAGGTTATACTGCTTACTGCTTACTGCTTACCTAGGCAGAGCCAGGGTTGAAACTGAAGTTGAGGTCCATTGGGTGCCTAAGTCAACATTGTATACTCCTCTCCTACATTGTCTGTCTTCTTTAGAGGATAAAAAGAAGGACATCCACAGGTGTTAAAACACTTGTTCTAAGTCACACATCTAGTTAGTGGCACTGCTGGGATAAAAACTGCAGTCTCCTAACCCAAAGCTCTTGTTCTGCTGTACAGAGCACTGTAATGTCAGAACCTGACATGGCAATCACACAACCACATAGTAATAGCTTCAAGATTCTGAGCAACTTCCAATGTCTTGTAATTTTTTACTTTTTAATAAAAATTATTTTTATTATATACCTAAATAATGTGTTCTTAGAGATTTCTCTTTGTACTGTCAACAAATTCACAATCTAGAAGAAATTCTACCTTTTTTTAGATCATATTTCTTAATTTCCGGCTGGGAAAAAAGTGGCCAATCTAAAGAGAGACCTTACAGATAAGTTTGGGACAAGGGTATGTGTGATAATCCTAAGTGTAATCGGAGCGGGCAGTACCAAGGTAAGCAAATGGGAATTGAAGGGTTCTGAAAAGCTGGTGGATTCCACCCCATCCACCCACTGCCATTCCTGAGTGTCTGAGATTCTCAGCATTGAAGTCACTTCTTTAGGTTAAGGTGTCATATCACCAATGAAAACAGATATAAGATAATATTTATTGTCTATGAATCTCTTGTTTTATTGCATTGAACCACGTAGCCAGTTGTCTGGGAAGAGATTGAAGAGCTGGGACCCAGGGAAGGCATGTTCTGGTAGATGAAGCAGAATTCAGGAAAGGTCCAAGGCAGGGGAACTCAAGGCCTGGCATGTGTTAGTCCAGATAGAATAAAGCCCAATGAGACACTTCTATTTGAGGGGAATAAATGCAGGAAGAAAAGATTTTTCCAAGTGAAAAAAATAATAATAATGACTGTCTTGCTAGCTAAGATAGTTTTAGGGATAATTTGGGTAGTTGGTGGATGACGCTGTATCAGATATTCAAGGTAGAGAATGTATGAAAGGGGAGAGGGTCTAAAAGGGGGTAAATATAAGAGGCTTGAAGACAAACCCACCCTGCTGATAAGCTCATGAAATCCCTACTCTGACCCCCTTGAAAGGGTGGCCTTGCCTTGGTTCCTGTCACAGAGGTCCCCAGTAGAGTTCAGACCAAATCGCTTCCTGAGCGAGGATGACAGGGAGCCTTGAGCCCCTGACCCTCAGAGCCTATACAGGACAATCAGCTCCCTGGGCCCCAGCTTTCTTCCCCGTGTGCAAAGCGGGAGTATCCACCGTGGTGTTCTGGGACTCTCTCTCCACGGCTTGCCCTGCCAGGGCACACGCCGCCCAGCATTTACCTAGAAGGTGTGGTGGCCACTCAGACAGGGGCAGGTGAAGAAAGGTCGTGGGTGTCACCCTATTCCAATGTCCACCTCTGCCACCACCACCTGCATCCCTCACTTGAGATTTAACCAGCCACGTGACATATCAGCCCACAATCCCCCCAGATCAGACAGTTCCTCACTCATTGTAAGGTGTGGATGAACAGAGTTCCAACCAGAAATTAGTTCCCAAGAGGGCCTTGCTGCTAAATTGGTTGGATAAGTGGCAAGTGCGGCAAATCAGCCCACAGTGAATGCAGCGTTGGAGAGTCACGATGATTCTCACTTGATGGGAGAAGAGGGAGACAATGAGCTAGGAAGCCAAGCACCCTGCCCCTGACTTCCTACTGTGGAATAATCAGGGCCAATCACAGACTCTTAGTGTGAAGAAGAAGCCTTTGTTAATCACGGTGTGCGGAAAATTATATTTTGGCTAAGGAGAGCCTCTTTAGGATGCATCTCGCCTATTGCATGGGCTCAGGGGGAAATTGTGTAATAAGGAGAGGTCCTGCTTGTAGGAAGCAAAGCGGCAGCCTCTGGACTTCCCATGACTCCCCTCTCATACTCCAGGGAACTGCTTCATTCCCTGGGTCTGCTGGGGCAGGCGGGGGGCACAGGCCCCCTTCTTAAGTGAGCCGGGCCACTTACCCCCACATGGCCACCCTGGTTGAGATTCGCCCATTGGGAGCTTACAGAGGGTTACGTGCCCTTATCATCCACAGTTCCCTTGGTGGAAGTTTACACAGAAGCATTTCCTTGAACCTTAGGTTTGCTCTCAAGCCAGAGGCTGTTGCTAAGGTCCAAGGGGTATGCACCTCTTTCAGAGCCAAACAGAGTTTGACTGTTTTCTTCAACAATTTCCAGCAAAACGTGCAACTCCTGACTCTGCAGGAGGATTTACTCCCCGAAGACGGCAGACTCGGGGCCTGTTGCTTCTGCCCCCTCCTAGTTCACACGGACTTGCTGCCACAGGCTCAGGAAATCCAAACTATGTTTAACAGCAGCCTAATTTTAACAAAGAGCGTTTACTAAAGTTTTTTTTTTTTTTGCTAAAAAGAACATCAATACAAATAAATGTAAAATGTCACTGTGAAGTCAAATGTCTTATGAAGGTGAATACTGTGCTTGTTTTCCCAGGTAGTCAATGCTATTGAAGGTCTTCATTTAAAATATGGAGATTGGCTGGTTCTCAGTGGTAGAAGCAGAGAGAAAGGACTGGAGGGCTTTCTTCAAGCCATCTTGCCTCTTTGGGTGGGAGGCTGACGTGAAGGAAGGAGAGAAAATCAGTAAGAAGATGGAGAAGAAGCAACAGCTTGGGACCATTCCTAGCAAGAGCGCCAATACCACCAGCTCCTCTCTCTTTCTTTGCCCCCTCCGATGTGGAACAGCGATGTCTAAGGATGAAGTGTGAGAGAGCAGCTCCTATGCCACACCCCCGATCATTCTTTCCCTACGGAAGGACTTCCATGAACACAGACACTTGGCCTCTCCCTTTCCAATCCTTCACTCATTCCTCCATAGTGACAAGGACACGGAGTGAATCACCAAGAACAGGGCAAGGACGTTTGATTCCCAGTTTTATAGATGATATGAGGCCCTGGGTTAGGACTTCAAGACATCCCTCCAAGCCACCTGCCAAATGAATTTGTAAGTTTCTTCATGTGAAGAATCATGGGATATTCATCTTAATGGATATCTCTCAACATTCATTCTCTCCTGGAACAGAGGTAATATTGGGGAAAATGCTAGATTGTTTTTCTCTTTTGCTTTTTTTTTTCGTGTGTGTGTGTTTCTCCAACATAAGACAGCCTGGACCCAGTTAAGAAGAGGACGTGATCTTTCTCTCTCTCTCTCTCCCTTTCTCTCTGAAAAATAAAAAGAGAGGGTGGATCGTGATTAAGACAGAGGTGGTCTATTCAGTGCTCCAGGTCTCCCTGGGTCATACTGAGCTGAGAGCTGGCAGCCGTTGAGGGCCTACGAGACACACAGGCTGGGCCAGGGGACAGATGGGAGATGTGTCATACACTCAGCAGTGTCTGCAGCACCGTCAACTCTGGAGAAAAGGCCAAATCTTCGGGGCTCTGATCAAATTGAACAGGAATAGGGCACAGGTTTATCTGCTGGCTGGAGCAGAGTCAGCTCCAGGTTGGGGGCCCCGTTCCCCAGTGACATGAGTCAGCCCAGCCTCTCTCCTGTGCCCCGAATAGCATGTCAGTGACAGGCCAGGAGACGGGGGGTGGGGGAGGGCGGAGAACAATCTGAATGACTGAGCAATTCTACCAAAAAGACTGAGTTAAACCTCAAAAGAGAGTGTCAATTATTGTTTCCAACAGAGATTTAAACTGAACTAAAATTTTTCTCTCCACTTCCTAGCAGGTGGGCTCCCAGCTCATAAGAAAGATCAGGTCAGTTACAGATAATAAGTCTTACTAAAAATGGAATGTGTAAAGAGGATGTAGATTCTCTGAATATAGACTCCTCTTTATACATCCCATTTATAGGAAGAATAATTTTGTGCATTCCTTCATTCATTTTTTCAACAAACAGTGATTATTAAACACCTACCACACATGGAGAATTATGCCGGGCACTCAAGGATGCTGATTGAACTTGGGGGAAATGATGGATTTTTTGGTCCAGGAGGAATCCTGTCTGCCTAGACCATAACAGAAGGGTCTTTAAATAAGATTATGTCATGTGCGGGGGAAAGATGGACTCTGCAATGTACCTTAAATAGCTTAATGCTTCTAAAGCTCTACCTCTCTGGTAAAATAGTTATTATTCCACTTCGAATAACTAACCGGCTTAAGGCTATTGCTACTGACAACTTTCTCTGCAATAGGATGGAATATGGACTATAAAGAGACAGTAAAAATAGAACATGAAGCCCAACCAACAATTGGTCTGAATGTTTGTTTAGAAATATTTATGAGACAAGAATATCTTTGCAAAGCCATTCCTCAGGGTAATGAAAGAGTTAGGTAGATTATGGGGACCTAATCGGCTGTGCAGGTTTTTTAAACCCTACTATAAAATTGATGGATTCAATGCATAGGAGAAATTACAAAATATATCACACTGATAATTGGTACAAGGGGAAATACAAATAACAGGCAGGGAGAAATAATTTATATCTTTGCAAGTATAACCTAAGAAGTGCATACCAAAGCAAACTCGAGGAACTATTGTCACCTGAATTAGAAAAAAAAAATTGTATCATAAATTTGCTTTAAAAAGTGTTACACATTTACTGCAACATTACTGTTGGCATTAGTACAAACATTTTTTGGGGAAAAGCAATATAATAACAAACAGAGCAAAAAAGATTGTCATAAAATTTAACCTAGTAATTTTATTCCTAAGACTTTATCCTAAGAAAATAATTCAGTAGAAGGAAAGGCAAAAGAAAAAAAAAAGGCAGTCTCAATTGCTAACAATAGAACAATGAATTACATTACACAATAAATTAACATGCAGTCAATGATAAAAATAACTAAGAAAAATATATGGCAATGTGAAAAATGTGATGAAGTGTTACTAAAATAAAAAGCAGAGTGAAAAATGATACTACAATTACCACTGTGTAAAACATGAACATGTATCATAAGCCAAAATGGTAGTCAGTTGTGTTGGGATGACATTGTGATTTTTTTCCCCACTATTTTAAACATTGTTGCATCTCATTTTTTAATGAAAAAATATTCACAAATAAAATCTAAGCTCTCCCTCCAATATAATATGGGGGGTGCATCCTCTCTTAAATCTTGAATATAAACCGTCACATGAATGATAGCTGCACTCAGGGCTGGGAAATCGCTTTTAACCAAGATCTATAAGGAGTCTGTTGAGTGGTTTGAGGTGTGTCAGAATAGAAGTGGCACGAGAGAGAAGTCATTGCTTTTTCCAGGAACCACATTAGCCAGCTCCGTATCACTCAGCACATCTAACACGGCTAGAGGCTTCCCAGAACCCCAGCTTTCTGGTGACAATACTCCGCAGAAAGCATGGAAAAGCCGAACCAACACAGCCAGGCTGAAAGGTTTTTAATTAGATCAAAAGGGTCCACTGTGATCTGGGTTGCACATAAAATGTATTTTTTTTTCATCTATTTTCTCACTCAAATACTATTGTTATTTAGTATCTCTAGGATACATTTGGTCTGGTTTCATTTAACTTAATATTGTTTTATTACTTTATCTTATTTTTTAGGATACAAACATAACTCTTTATAAGACTTCAAGATGATTTCCTGGGTGTTTGAAAAGGAATCTGCCAGGGCCGTTCACCTAAGCTCACTCATACACACACACAGGAAAAGGTTCCAATCTTTTTGTTCAAGGACAGGAAGACAAAGAACTGGAAAGGACAAGGAAGCGGGGCCACCCCTTTTGTTTGCACTCAGCACTTTTGATCCCAAGACTTCCTGAGACGAAAGACAGCACAAACCACCCGTGCAGCAAAGCCAAGGACAGCCGATTTTTGTATTGCTCCAATTCCTCAGGAGAACCACCCCAGAGTGACCTCTCCGCTTTCCACAAAAGACAGGGAGACTGACACTGCTATTTCAATAAATAGATGCTACCAGAAGCCCTCTGATAGCGTTGTGTAAAACCTCTCCTCTGAGAAAGGAGGGTTTTCCCTGACATCCTTCTGCTCCGCCAGGAACCTCAGGTGACTTCTGTACCTGGGTTCATGTTTCACAGCTTCACGTCCTGCTGGGTTCCCATGCTCTCAAGAGCAGGTGAGCAGATAGGAGCGAAAGTTACTTTCTTTGAGCTCCAGCTCATTAGTCAAAATGAATAAGACCTTTTCCCTCCAAGAGCTTCTCTTTGTTTCTTTGTTACTACATAATGACCGCAAGCCACAATGAAGTTATCTCTTTTGATATATTAGAGAGCACATGGAAATTGGGCTCCAAAAATTCATAACCACTAAACTTACATCAACTTCTATATTTTGCCTTCTGACAATCATGTGAAAGTCCCAAGGATGTGAGAATTTTATGCATCTATGATTAGGCCTGGGCATGATTCTTCCCTTGGAATTAAACCCTACTTTGAGGAAAGGACACAGTAATGTAGTTTTAAAATTGCATAGCAAAGATGCTAAGGGAAAGGTCTGTATCAAACCTGGTATTTCCTGCAAAACAAGCATCACGTGGAGCATTTCGTGAGCTTCTTAAATCTGCCCAGACAATATGCTCTCATGCTGAAAAATGCAAAGCTTGGAAAATCATTTTCCAGTATCACCTTTTTAGGATAATATCTATTTCTTTAGCTCTAGAGTGGAGAAAATTCCATCAGTACCTATTCCCACTCTGTTCTTTATAAATGACCCACATATGTTTCTTTAAGGTCCAAGGAGCTTATTTTCTAAAATGTAAATTACTCTATAAACTACCATAAAATTCCAATTTAATTCATATACAGCAGAATAAAATGGCTAAAAGTTTTCAGGGGACACACTTTATGTAGTCAGGGAGAGGGCAGATATGATGAGAAAGGAAGGAAAATCTGACATTTTAGCCCTTTCACTTACAGTGAGGGTTAAATAAATATTCATGTAAGTAGCTCTCATGGAACCCGGGTTACTAAGCCAGCACTAATACAGCCATAACCCAGAGCATCCTATGAAACTTTGGTCTTTATAAAATATTTCCTTCTCAGATTCGCAGCTACTTATCCATAGCTACGATTCCTTGTTGACTAAAGACAGGTTTTACTACTTGAGCTGTTTTAGATCAAAACCAAATAAACTGAACAAACACAGCATTCGCAGTCAGTTTCCCTTGCAATTCTTTCATTCTGTGACCCCTCACTTCATCAACCAATATCAGCTCTGTTCACAAAGAAGTTCCTATGCAGTTTTATGGAGAAGTCTTAATCTATAGGAGAAATAATAATAATAGTGATTTTTTTTTTTAAAGGCTGTCATTGTATCAGTGTACTGGAAAATTTAACAACCGGCATATTTCTCTTCTGTCCCATCTTGTAGTGCCAGAAGCTCAAAATGACAGTGGTTGGTGGCAGGGGAGTTTATTAGGTGTGATTTCACCATCAAAGTTCAAATATGACTTTTCATGGGTTCCTATGCCTTTACCTCCAATAACTCCACAAGTTTTTCTCTGCATCTTTTCTTGTCTTCTAAGGAGTTGATAAGCCTCTCACTTCCAGTTTCATCTCTAAGCCCTCTTTATTAGTTTGTATATCTCTTTAGATGTTCAACAAAACAGAATCAACCCAATTCTCCAAGGAATCATGTCAGTTATTTGTGAGAGAACCTTCTCATAGGATTGTCTCTTATGATTACTGCATGCATAAAATCCTTTGTATTGTAACCCTGAGTAAAATAAGATTTTCTCTGGAGGTGCAGGAGTGGAGAGGGAAAGGAGAGAGAAAGATCTCCTG